AACCTCCATCCAGAATATGGGTAAAAGGATCCTTTTAAATATCAGACAACGCATCTAAAATGCGTAACTTAATTTTTTTTTTTGGCAAATTCTATATACAATGCTACAAAATTTATTTTGTTTATGCCTGTAACTCATGAGGTTACTAGTGGCGATGTTAAAAGTTAAGAAAATTTGGTACTTCAAGGTCAAATGAACACTGCTGCTTCCTGAGGAACCCTCAGGGCTGCAACGGCCTGCTCAGTCCAACAGGCTGCTTGTGCATTCAGTGTCAGTGTGGAAGTTGGTTCCTAGTTTTCCTTTTGTTGTACTTTTAAATCACAAACTGCAATTAGTTCTGCTTGATCACCAGTTTTGTTTGCTGGGTGTGTACACTAATCCTACTAGTGGTTTTGAGATTTGAAGTTACTTTGGAAAAGTAAAATTTAATGGGTAGAGTGGTTTAAATATTAATGATCCTAGTTACACTGGCAAAGGCCATTTCGGTGCCTGAACAGAGACACTTTGTTGGTTATGTGCTTCCTATACTTGGTTCCATTCAAATCGGTTGGAAAGAATTATCTTGTTGTTTTACAATTACTAGATCGTTTTATCAAGAAAAGAGTGTATAAATATATTGCATACACAGAGTGCTATAATCAGACACATAGCAACTGCTTTCAAGTTTAGGACCATTTGTTTACACTGATTCTCTTCAATTGTTAACCTTGAGCAATTTCCTCCACTGGCTGGGGATGGATGGGAAGGGATACATTTTGGAGTCTGTGGCAGCTCAACCAGGCTGCCTTCAGAGGGTTGTTAGCCACTGGTTTGTCCAAGGTGCCAGGAAAGGTAAGACAATTACAGCCGAAATTGCGGCCTTCTTGTATAACCCATAGTGTATTTATTTAAACCTCACCTACAGGTAAAGTCCATTTCCTTCTCTTTTTGCAACTCAGCAAAACAAATGCTACTGGAATTGGGGGCTGGCTAATTCTTTGCTGTGGGGGGTCATTTCTGGGCATCACAGGGTGTTTATTTAGCAGCACCCTGGCTCCTGGAGCCACTAGCACCCATCCACAGGGTGTTACAACCGAAAATGTCTCCTGATAGTGCCAACTTGTCTCCGGGCGCAAAACTCGCCCTGTTGAGACTTTAAAGAACGTTCCCCGCTTCAGTGACACATAAACCACTAACACTTGTGGGGTTTCCCTAAAGTGACAGTTATGTCCCATTTGGGCTTGAAGGAACGGCCCGAAATCGCTCTCGCGGGCCCCTCCTAGCGGACTCTCATGAAAGTGCAGGAGCATCAGCCGTCAGGCGCCAGGACGCCAGAACGACAACGAAATTCTTGGCACAGTTACACGCGCTACACGGGCATTAACTCATTTTTGGTAATTTTACTCATAAGCCCACTAAATCGTTGGGGAAACGGATGCTTCGTAGCACCCCGGGAGGCAGAGGCCGCGGGTGACGCCAGGTCTGTGCCGGCGTCCTGCCCCCAGATCTTGTGGTCGCCCGAGCCCGCAAGTGCAGCAGTGACCTTCAGGGGTCTCTCCACCGAGTCGCTTCACCTCCGCTCTCAGGCCCGCGCGCAATCTTCAGGTTTCCCGGCGTTAGGCTCCTCTGCTTAGCGCGCGAGCTGGGCCTCCAATGCCCGACCCGCCCAGCCCGCGGTCCACTTGGCCCGCAGGGTTCAGCTGAAGGGCAGACCGCCTCCCAAGGCCCCGGGCCCTCTAACAGGGCACCTCCGTCCCGTATCACCTTGCTGACAAGCTCCTCCCCAGCCCCTGCCCAAACCCGCCGGCTGTGCTCACCGAAAAGGACCCGGCTTTCGTTAGCAGCTTCATGGCTCAAGATTGCTCTGACCCTCGGTCACTGCCGGCTTAAAGGAAAGCAAGATGGCGGCGGACGGGGGCGTTTCCCAGCGTGCCCCGCGACGCCCTTTCCCACGCCCACTTCGCGGGCGCGACTCTCTGCGCGGCCGGCGCTCTACTGCTCTCCGGAGGAGGTCCGGTTGGCCCAACTCCGCCGGAAGCGAGACGCGCTATTTCCTGAGTAATGTCCGGAGCTCGTCCGAGGTGTCGCGCTTTGATTTTCCCCGCATCTCAGACGTCCACGCCGCAGCCCCTGTCCGACTAGGATGGCGGGAGCCCAGCATAGCGTCCCCCCCATATTGGATCCTCCCGCTCCGGGCCGTCCAACCAGGCTATTCGAGTGCCGGGAACTCCGCCGCTTTCGCCCGCGGACCCTCCCGACCACCCCTCTGCGGAGACCCCCCACTCTGCGACGAGACCCCCGGCTCGGCGGAGCCCCGGCCTCTCCGGCGCGTTTGCCTCCTGCTTGGTGAACTCCTCGCTGAATCGTTAGCACCTTGAAACGGGAGACGTTGTCCTGGGAATTCGCTGTTGTTAACTCCCAACAAGCCGGGGCACACGATCGAGGCGCCCTGACAACTAAAGGGCCCCCCTCGCAGCAACTTGTGTCCTGGGGTGGGGCTGCGTAGACAGTAAACCCATAGTTCTGTACGAAAAAGGAAAATATTTTGGAGCGAGCGCGACTGCCTGTCGAGAGTCGGGACGATGGAGGGCAGAGTTCACGCCATCCTCCAATTGCTCTTACCAGAGGACTTTTCTTGTACCAGACACTTAAGCTGCAGTTAAAGCGTGGTCTTGGCCTTCAGGGATTTACAGTCTCCTACCTTGCTACATAGCGTGGTTGGGAAACCAACAGCATTAATGTCGTTAGCAGTCAGAAATGCACTCTCCAGGTTTTCTACTACATCAGAAATCTGCCTTTTCATAAGACCAGGAGGTGCCGCCGATACACATTAACGTTTCAGAAGGGCTGGTTAGGTGTGACATGGCGTAGACAAGTACGTTCTCTTTGGCGGAATTTCTTCCAAGGACTCTTGTGATTTCCAATGGACCCTGACATTAAGAATCTGGCACTGACCCATTTCGGGGCCGTTAGGGGGCGCCCCAACTCAGTCCATACTGCAGCAGAAATTGAAAGTGTGTTGGACTTGCCACAGTGGTGTAGATGACATAAATTAGCACTTGAACGAACATTGTTACATCTTAATAGTTATATATTTAAAAACAATTAGTATGGCAAGTAATGCTGGTAAAGAGTTTCCTCTTTAAATACTCTTATAACAGGACATTGCAAGTGGGTTAACTATAAGTGATAATGGAGATAGGGCAAAAATCAAGATGTTATCCCAATGAACAAAGCTTGGGAAACATTGTTCTGAAAACTCACCCATCTGCCTAAGTTTTGAAAAGTTCTTCATGATTTTCAGGATAAACTTCAAATGCAGACCTTCATCTCCAGGACTTTTTAATCACTCCCCCCAAACTGGTTGCATCGCTGGGAGTCCAGTGTTTGGAGCTTCACACACGTCCCTAATCCCTTATATTTACATTACAGCAGGACTCTACAGCAAAACATATCTGACCCAAATAAAAAATTGTTTAAAATGTACTAGACTCAGTTACATAATTCGTGTCAGCTACATAAATAGTATTCTAAATTTATTCAGTGTTCTGTAAAATTTCCTACTAAGCTTTGGTAGTTCTTCCCTTTAGTAGTTTGCACCTGATGGCATCATAGCTTCTTGGAAACTTTGCCACATCACCTCAATGAAAGTTGGCTGAAACACCTAAGAAAAGGTTTATTTAAAGTCTTACGGTGCAAGGCTGCCATCTTATGGACAGATTTATCATTTCAGCATCATCCCTCACCCTACTTAGCACCTCAGCTGGGCCCTATAATGTGTGTGGTTGTGATGGAATGCCACTGTTAACAAGTATGTGTGATTTTGGCAGGTGTGTGCTTTTTCCTAATGTCTGTCTAAACTACACTACAGAGCTAACTGTAGTTACATAACTACAGTGGGGGAGGAGGCTGACCCATGAGCTCCTCTGTGTTGCTGCTTTCTATACTTTGTAAGAGTTGAGGCTTGGACTTGCAAGCCTCTATAAAGTCAGAGAAGAAAGAGGGCAAAGAATGGAGGACGCAGGAGAAAGTGGGTGACCAGAAAGGTAAAAAATAAGGCAACGGGTGGGAAGAAGAGATTCTCAAGATGAGGCTCCAGATTGCTTCCATCTGTTGCTTATTAAAGTTAAAATCTCTTTTTCATCATGCCCGTTACCCAGTCTAGCATAAAAATAAAGGTGTAGGCAATGAAAGCCTGGGAAGTTTCTCCAGGTTGCCTACTCATTTCAGGTTTCTGCCACAACTCCTGCATTTTATTACAGAAGAAAACGAAGGGCTTGAAATTGCTTTTGTGCAACACAGCTCCGGAAGGGGAGCACATGGAAAGCAGATGGCGCAGATGGGCGTGGCCGGAAGCTCTGTTAGCTTTCTTAACGTGGATTCCAATGTGACCCCTCGGAGGCCAAGGCTGTCCTGCAGCTGGAGGGGGTGGCGCACACATGTGCGGGTGGTGGTGTGCTGTGGGGCAGCGTCCACGTGGCCCCGCTGTGGTTTGTCCTTGCGCTTGGCACAGCGCCCAGGCAAGGTTGGGCAGAGGCCTTACACATGGCTCCTCCTAGCCAGGATGCTGGTGGGTGTCCTCCATTCACCTGGGAACCCCACCCAGGTGACCACTGCCCGGTCTGGACTGCTCCCTTCTCTGAAATTTACTGCTTTGTTTTGCTAAATAATTTTGTGTTCGTATTTTAACTCCCCTTGACCAGATTAGAATAATAAAGTTCTGTTTTTGAGCCAGGATTCCAGTGTCTTCTGCCAGTATTCACGAGACTGTGGTAATCGCCTAACTTTTGAAAACTTGTTAGCAGGGTAAAATCTCCGACCCTTTACAGTTCAGTTCAGACGAAATGTTATTTATCTTAATCTCCAAGGTTAAAGTGACTTCTTCAAAGGTTCAATTTGTGTAGAGGGGGAAGCAGGGGCGGGGAGCACGCACTCTAGGTGTGTAGGTCCTGGCATCATTCTAAGAAAGCCATCACGGTCACTGGTTGGAACAGAAGCTCAGATTTATTTTTGATCAATATCTATCTATGTTTATCAATATCGGCAAAGGTCAGGAAGATTTGCTCTAGTGTTATCTGACTGACGGAGTAGTTTTCTAGGTTGAATAGCACTTTAGCTTTTTCCAAAATACTAAATACCTTGAAGAGGAAAAACAAAACAAAACAAACCGGCGGTGTAACCACTGCCAAATATCCCCACACAAACCTCTTCTCACCCCCGTGTCCTAACTCCTCCCAGGTTTGTGCTCAGTGACCAAATGATACAGAAGCAGGAAGTTAGACAGCAGAAGGAAAAGATGATTAGGGAAAAAAGGAAGAAAGGCAGTTCTCCATTCCCGTTCTGCTGAGGGATATGGACTAATAATAAAATTTAGGGTCAGACATTTCAAGCGAACTATTGTTGCCTTTGAAAAGTCATGAAAGTTTCTTCCCCTCTGCCAATGTCAGGCTCCCATTCCACACCCCTGAAGCCCAGCGCTTGCTTTCAGTCCTTTGTTAACGCAACATTAGGAGGGGATGGTTTGTACAATCACCTTTCCCCAGCAAATGTCCTTGCTCGGAATGTAGTAGCCAACACTTCCTCCATGGTCTTGGTTGATGATGTTACCTAAGAGAAAGACTTGGCAGGTTAGTGTCAGGGAGGGTCTACAACTTAGTTTAGTAAAATTCCCAAATAATTTCAGCTCAATCACACACACCAATGGAAGTTTTAATTTGCATTTCCCAGATGATTAATGATACCAAGCATCTTTTTGTATGATTGCAGCTTGTTCTTTTAATCAAAGATAAGAAGTAGTGACTTACCCTTAATAATTTATGAAGAGTACACATGAACAAGTTTATATGCTAGTTGATCCCTACAAGAGACTGGTGAGAACCTCTGCTATTTAAAGTTTTTTTTTTTAAAGTATAGTCAGGACAACTATTTGAAAAAGCATCCAGTATACAAGTTCAGTATACATCAATAACTCACAGGAAAACATTACTGAGGAAACACAACCCATCCACATACATGACTTAACACAACTGGGGCAAGTCAGCCCTACCTATATTACCTGGGAAGGTTTTGGCAATGAATGTTTTGAACTCCTTTAGTTTATCTTTATTATCAGCCTTCATTTTTGCTGTCAGAGAGTATATGTTACCAAGTTTGTTCCTGAGGTGCTGAGGGGTTCCTAGGCACTGGAACTTCCCCTTTACCATGATGGCCACCCTGGTGCAGAGGGCCTCACCTTCTTCCATGCTAGGGGAACAAGAGAAAGATGGATGAAGAGGGAAAATACCACATTCCAAAAAGAGCTAGAATCACAAGGCCGTGTTTGCAGCAGGGAAGCGTGGCATTGCAGAGGACCGCCGCTAAGCCCGTGTTTGGGAAGAAAGGTCTTAAAATTCAAGGCAGTTGGTTTTTAAATCTATAATAGGGACAGCTCCCAAGCTTTCTGTCGTCTGCTAATTCTGGATTCCAGGAGTCATTTGGGCTAAAGCCAAGAATCAGCGTCTACCCTCAGTCCCCCCTGGAGCTGTTACAGTTAGAGAGGTTCACTCATCCGTGTTCCTGGCTCCAAGTGCTTCTCCCTAAGCTGTCCCCACTCTCACCCCAGCCATACCTGTGGGAACTGATGACCACGGCTTTGCCTTGTTTACACAGCCAGGTCACTATGTCCCAGAGCAGGCGCCTGGCGACGGGGTCCATGCCAGTGGACGGCTCGTCCATGAAGACCACCGAGGACCTCCCCATTAGAGCAATGACAGCATTCATTCTCCGTTTGGTTCCCCAACTTTGTCGTCGGAGAAGGAGAGACAAAGCGGAGGAGACAGAAGAAAAGGGCACACACATTATTCACGACCCGAACCCTCCCCTATCTGGGACGCTGCTCTGACATGACCGACAGTGCAGCAGGCCCACGTCCAGGTGGCGCTATCAACCAGTTGTAACTGAAATGGCCTTTGGGTGGTTATTCAGGTATCCTCACTGGTGAAGCACATTTGTTTTGCAGGAGACAGGAACACAGGGAGACAGGGATGAAAGTGTTCTTTTTCATTTTTTAATGAAAAAGCTACAGGTCATAACTACACCAGGTTGACTTCACACAGCAGCAACAGCCTCACTGTGAACATCTAAGGCCTGACAGGACAGGGATCTTTTCACAGTCACAGTCACCGCCTCCGTGTGCGAGGGGTTAAGTTACACTTCTGGCCATTCATTTTTTAAACAGAAGAAACAAACTGGAGCTTAATAAGCGCAGTGGCATAACATCTCACCTGTATGTGGAGGAAAGTTGGTCGGCATAGGTTTCCAGGTGCATTGAATACAAAAAGACTTCCACGTACTTGTAAATGTCGGGCTCAGGGACCCCCCGAAGCCTGGCATACATGGTCAGCAGTTCTCGACCTGTCATATGGCTCAGCGTGGGATCAGGTTGAGGACAATAGCCAATTTCTGACCTAATCTGAACCAAAAGGGCAGTCACAAACAATACCGCAAGGTAGCCATTCCACTGAGTGCAGTCACATCGCTATACAGAAAACCTGCAGTTTTCTAGTCCATGCCTCTAAGAAAGTTTGATAACCATAGAACTTCCACTAAGGATGAGCTCTTTTCTAATATAAACAAATTTTATAGCTGGAACCCATTGTAGTAAAACAAAGTACTAATATCACTATTGGGATTTTAAACACGCGTCTATTATGTACTATTATGTGGCCAACATAGATTTTTGTTAAATCATCTATTCAGGGGCCTTCCCTGGTGGTGCAACGGGTTAAAGCACAGTACTATGAAGCTATCACAGCCACTACAGCACAAGTTTGATTCCTGGCCAGGGAGGTGGCCCACGTGGTGCAGCAGACCTCTCCTGGCCCACCTGCTGCTCCCCTCAGGAGTGTGTTTCAGTGCCTCTGCCTGTTCTGCTCCCTACTCTGCCTGTGGCGAATCCTCTCACCCCCCCCCCCACACACCTCTGGCCTATACCCCAGTTCTGTATGCATAAATAAATAAATCTTTAAAAAAAAATGCATAGGATTTCACTTCCAGTAATGGGCCAGTAACTTCTAGCAGACCAGTCCTCCCATAGATAGCTGTAAGACAAAAGGCACAGATCCCAAAACATAAAGAACTCGTACAACTGAAGGCAAACAAACAATCTGAGTAAAAAATGAAAAAAACGGATGGAGGATCTGCTCAGCTATTTTCCCAAAGAAGACACAGAGATTCTCAACAGGTATCGAGAGAAGGTTCAGCACCAGCAATCACCGGAGAAGTGCCGGTAAAAACCACAGTGAGCTATCACTGCACACCTGTTAGAATGGGTATTTTCCAAAAGACAAGAAACAGCAAGTGGTTACCTCCCTCTGGAGAGTACAACTTAGTGGCCCCGGCCAGAAATACCTTTCTGATATTTTCAGTGATACTAGTGCCGTTGATTAACACAGCTCCAGAGGTTATGGTCTCTTCTCCAGTCAACATTTTGAATAGAGTGGTTTTCCCAGCACCATTTAATCCAAGTAATCCAAAGCACTCAGCCTTTTTGACTTGAAGGGAGATACTTCTTACAGCCTTTATAACTGGACACTTATAATAAACCTGAGAGGAAAAAAAACCCCGCAGTAGACCTCATCACTGACATGGGTCTGCCACAACTGCAACCTCAGACTGCCGCCTGGATACTCCGCCTTTCACAGAGGCTCTCCCCCTTTCAGTGTTCTGTTTTACCAGAGAGTGCTCCATCCACAGAATTTCAATCCTTCAGTTATATAGCAGCTCCTTGAACAACATAGCAGGTCTTTTGGCTCAACATTGTTTTGCTGTGTTGATGTGAAACTATAAACACCCAATTCCAGTGAACAGTGAAGGAAAGGGCCAGGACACAGCTCAGGGACCTGCTTGAGTTCCCTGCCCTTTTGCTTGGAGGCACGTTCCAAGAACCCACCTATGGCACGCAGTGAGCACCTAATATGCCAACTGCTAGTATACAAATTCTCAACAGGGACGGTGGGCAAAAACTCGGAGCGGTATGGTCACCGGATGGCTTTACCTTTGTCACCTCTTTAAGCAGCAGTGGCACACTGGATGAAGGAGGCAGTGCCAGGACTTTCTTCATTTCCCTCTTTACATCATCATCCTCATACATTGTTTCTATTCTGCTGGACATTACAGCCTATATTTTTAAGACAAAGGTCACAGATAGCTGCTTTAAAATCAAGCCCTTTTTTGCAAGCTGACCTGAAGGCATAATCTCAAAGGTATCACAAGTGAAGACGAAAAGCTTGTGATTTAAATCGGTCCCAGTTATATTTTTGGTAGTTAGTTGAATGCTGCTTTCCTCATCAAGCAACAGAGGTAATAATATGTAATTCATACATTCTGAGCTAACACGGAGCTGCCTTTGAATTGTATCGAATGTCCGTATCACTCACCTTCTTGCCTTTAATAAGTACGTTGTAGGCCTTAGATATAATATTTTGAAAGAAAAAATTTTTCAGGCTCCAGAATTTAGTCTCCAGAAACAAAAGCAAGAGGAGATAAAAGAAGCCCATGACAGCCAATGTAACCAAAAATTTTGCAATGCCATTTTCTTCAAAACTGTAGATATTGTTGTTAATAACTGGGGAAGATAAAAGAGATTGCCTTACTTTAAAAGCTGATACAGAGTCTAAGATGACACCAAATATTAAGACTTTGGATTTTAAAATAAATTATATTAGATTCAGAAAAGTACAGAATATGAAAAACAAGGCTCTTAGTATCTTATATGCATCTATCTCATTTTATGTTCCCTGATGTTTAAGGATACTATAAAAGTTCTCCTGTCGGTATTTTTTCTAGTTTTTACCAGTTTTGACAGAAGATAACCTTACTATACATTTAATTTCAAAGGCTAAATCTTTGTGAAGAGAATGCTTATTTATTAAATAAGCAAAATAAATATATTAATGACTTACCTAACTATTATTACAGACCATAAAGAATATCTTTAAGTTCTCTAGAGTGAGAAAAGTTTAAGAAACTTTTTTTTTAGAGATGTATTTATTTATGTATACAGAACTGGGGTACAAGCCAGAGGTGTAGGGGTGGTGAGTGGATTCCCCATAGACAGAGTGGGGAGCAGAACAAGCAGACTAAGTACGCTGCTGAGGGGAGCAGCGGGCGAGACAGGATCGATCTCACACTGAGGGGACTGTGGTTAGCTCGCAGTGCTGTGTCCTTACCCGTTGTGCCACTAGAGAGGGCCGGGAAAAGTTTTAAATAGTAAAAGTATTAATGGTAATATGAGTGAGGAAGACTACAAAGAATAGTTTAAAGGTTAAACAGTGAATAATTTAAATAGCTGATAATTCCAACCCTACATAAAGATAATTAGTTAAGACAAGCTGCTAAATTCTGGATCTATGAGTTAGAGGTATTTCTGAGATGTGAAGATAACAAGCCCACTCTCATTTCTAGAATTATAATTTCTGATTGAGTTGTGCAATTACTCGCTTGTTTTATTATAATAAAATGCAAATAACAAAGTTTGCCTTTAAAAATTCACAATTCAGTGGCACTGAGTACATTCACAGTGTTGTACAACCATAACCACTACCAAGATTCATAACATTTACAGTAAGAGAACCCCGTATCTCTTAACTAGTCATAATTTCTCTTTCTCTCCTCTACTTCTGTCTCTGGATTTGCTCGTTTTGGACATTGAATATCAGTGGTATCCTATAGTGAGAGGCCTTTCGTGTCTGACTTCTTTCACTTGGGATAATGTTTTCATGGCTCCTCCATGCTGTGTATCAGTAACTGACATCTCTTTATTGCTGAATATCTCATTCTACACATATACCATGCTTTGTTAGGCTCCTATCAGTGGATGGACAGGTAGATTGCTTTCACTTTCCCTCAGATAAAAAGCTATTATGAATAATGCTGCTATGAACATTTGTGTACAAGTTTCTACTTAAATACTGTTGCCAATTCTTTTGGACATATACTCATGAGTGGGACTGTTGGATCATGTGATGATTCTATGTTTAACATCCTGAGGAAGCACCAGTAAACGAGGGTATCAATTTCCCTACATTTCCAGCAAACCTTTGATATTTCCATTTTTAATAACAGCCATTCACAAGGTGAAGTGATACCTTGTGATCTTGCTTTGAGCATCTTTTCATGCACTTGGAGGCCATTTGCATCTCTTTCTGGAGATGCAGTTATTCAACTGCTTTTCCTTAGGTTAAAGAAAGCTGTGATGAATTCTGATAAGGGTTACACTTAATGTGAAGATCCTTTTTTGGAGTATTATCATTTTAACTATATTGTCACTTAATCCATGAATATTTCATGCCTTTCCATTTGGTTAGCCATTATTTAGTTTCTTTCAGTAAGGTTTTGTAATTACTAGTATATCTGTCCTGCACCTTTTTGGTTAGATTCATTCTATTTTATTCCTTTTGTAGTCATTATAAATGAAATTATTTTATTTATTTTCCATTTGTTCACCAGTAGTACAGAAATCCAACAAGTTTTATATGTTGGTCTTATATCTTGTAACTTTTTTGAAGTTGCTTAATTTAGTTTTTGGTGTAGATTCCTTAGGATTTTCTATATATCAGATCATGCCATCTGAAAATAGAGGCAGTTTTTCTTATTTCTTTCCAAATTGTATACCTTTTCTTTCTACTTGCTTAATTTCTCTGAGAATAAATTAATTTAAAATATAAAATACAAGGTGGAAATGGGCATGGCTGTCCTATTTCTGAGATTAGGAGGTGAGCTTTCAGCCCTTTATCACTGAGAAAGATGTCACCGGGGATTTTCACAAATGTAGAATTTTCCTTCTACTTTTCACTTGCTGAGTGTTTTTAGCTTGCAATAATAAAGTATTCTAATCAGTAGAGATTTTTATTCTTTCCTCCCTTCTACTAACATGGTCATATGTCAAACTCTCATTCTGTTCATGTGAGAAATTCTACTTTTTTTTTTTTTGCTTTTGTGTGCTGCTGGATTGGGCTTGCTAGTGTTTTGTTGAGGATTTCTACATTTATATTAAGGGATATTGGCCTAAGGGGTATTGCAATGCCTTTAGATCACCTCTTTAAGACATCATGAATAGTTAAAAAAAGGGGCATATATAGTGAATGAAATAATCATTAAAAAAAAAAAGACAGTATGTGGACTGGCAGGAAATGTCTATACATAATATATCTGATTAGGGACTGATATCCAAGATCTAGAAAGAAATCATATCACTCAACAAGTAAACAAAGAACTCAATCAAAAAATGGGCAGAAAAGCTGAATAGATACTTTTCCAAAGAAGAGATATAGATGTCAACAGAAGATGTTCATTATCACAGACGTGAAAATCAAAACCACAGGGAAATGTTTGCTCACATTTGTATGAATGGCCCATAGAAAAAGTCCAGAAACAAGTATTGGTGAGGATATAGAGAAAAAGGATATATTCTACACTGTTAGTGAGAATGTAGACTAGTTCTGCCTTTATAGAAAACAATATGTAAGTTTCTTAAAATATTAATATTAAAAATAGACCCAGCCCTAGGTATCTATCCAAAACATACAAAAACACAACACTAGTTCAAAGGGCTATATGAACTCTTATTGCAGCACTATTTATAACAGTGAAGTTATGGAAACAACTTTAGTGTTCAAGGAAAAATAAATGGATAATAAAGATGTGGCATAAAGACAGGACCAAGATGATATCACAAGAAGTGCTCTGATTTATTCCTGGGATGATAATCTGAGATGGATCCAGAAGGGTACTAAATACAGAGGGTGTTGTGACTTGGGGTGAAACTGGAATACCTCTTGGAGATCAGAGAGTAGTATGGACTATACCAGAATGGACACTAAAGAAATTCAACTCCAATAAAAGGCCGATGGAAAGAGGTGCCTGGAAGCTGTGGTCTGGGGTGTAGTTTCCTGCAAACTTTGGACTACACTCCTCTGTCTGGTTAGTAGTGCTGGAGAAGGGACTTTCAGACTGACCTTGTGAAGCATGCTAAACACACACAGACTTTAGAATCTCAGGGTTAGAACCCCAGAAGGGAGGACTACTAGTGATGGTACAAATAAGTGCCAGAACCCCATCTCCAACTTTCATCAGTGACTGGGCCCTTCCCTTATCTAACTCAGTAGCACCAGAGATCAGGTTTCCTGTATAAATGACCAGATAGAAGGTCAAATATCTAAAATCATAGAAAGCTGCAAAAAGCTAAAGACAAAAATAAAAAAACCAAGGAGCCACTTGCTAGAAAGTAGAAGTGCTGCAAACCTTTTAATTTACTGCTAAGAACACTTAAAAAAAAAAAAGCTACCAATATTTAAAGCAGCAAAGTGGACAGATGGAAAATTACAAACACAGGGCACTTTGAATCCTCAAGGGACTACATCACTACTCAGGAGAGAATAAATCTCCATATTCCAGTTCACAAAGATATGAAGAGTTTCTTCCGATCAGAGTTCAAAACTGCCATGATAAAGAAATTCAAGAATGGAAGAAAACACAGAAAAACTGATAAAAGATGTATAAGAAAACTCAGGAAAAACAAATATCCTAGGAAACTAATGGTGAAACAAGAAGTAAAAAAAATCAATAGAGCATATAAAATATTCTGGAGAAAGTGATGGAAGCAGAAGAGACCAAATGGATGATCAAGAGGTAATGCAAAAAGCATCCAAGTAGAAGAAGAAACACAGAGAGGAAAAAAAAATGAACAGGCATTTTGAGAATTATACAACACTTTAAGGAAAGTCAACATAAGATAACAGGATAATGGGTATTCCAAAAGGGGAAGAGAGAAAAAACACAGAACTTACTCAAAGAAATAATAAAAGCTGCACCTGTAATGAGGAAGGAACCAAATATACAAGCTCATGAAGCTAAAAGAACACTTGGTTATTTAGAAGTCATGAGACCTTCACCAAGACACACGGTTGTATAACTTCCAGGGATTAAAGACAAAGACAGACTATTGACGGTGGTTAGGAAAGTATAGCAAAACCAGAATTAAGAAGGCACGTATATACAGCAACAGAGGCCCACATCAAGAAATAAGAACTCAAATAAATAATCTTATCTCTACCTTAACAAGCTAGAAAAAGATGAATAAACAATGGCAAAAGTCAGTAGAAGAATGAAATAGTAGAGATTAGAGCAGAGACAAGTGAAATGGAAAAAAAAAAAAACAGTCCAAAAGACGAAGGAAACCAAAAGCTGTTTCTTTGAAACATTAAACAAAATACAAAACTCTATGTTCATAAAAGGAGCAAAATAAAGAGAATCAGAAATGGAGGAGAAATCACAACAGACAGTTCAGAACAGGCCCATAGGAAATTACCATGAACTGTTAGGAATGGGGGTGGGTGGGAGGGACAGCGCAGTGGGCTATGGTGGTAGATTACGGCTGCCTCGCTGTGGGAATGCGGCAGTAACTACATCAAGGGTAAACACTCAAAACACGAGGAAGGACGAAAAACAGCGGTACTTCAACAATGAAAAGAAACAGACAAATGCTTAGAAATATACAACTTTTGGAGACTGGATCAGGAAGAAACAAAAAACTTAAATAGACCAATTACATTAAGGAAATTGAAACAATAATCAAGACGTCTCTCCCCATTATAGGTGCCCCCCCCAAAAAAAACCTACAAAAACCTACAAAAGGATGAGATAGCTTCACTTATGATTTTTACCAGCCCTTCAAAGTTGAATTAATACCTGTCTTAAAGTTTTCCAAAAATTTGAGAAAGAGGGAACGCTTTCAAAGATTTTAGAGGCCAATGGTAACCCAAACCAGACAAGGACAACACGCAAAAAGAGACTATGGTCCCATAACCCTGATGAACACAGACAAAATATCTTCAACAAAATCTTAGCAAACTGAATTTAACAATCTATTAAAAGTATCGTATGTCTGGACCACTTGGATTTATTCCAAGGGTGAGAGATGGCTCAATATCCACAGTCAATGTAATTTACTTCATCAACAATGAAAAAGAAACATATATGATCAAATCAACTGCTGCAGAGAAAGAAATTCATAAGATTCAATATCCATTTATGATGACACCCCTTGAAAATGGGGATAGAAAGAACATACCCCGACAATAATAAGGTCATTTATGACAAACGCAGAGCTAACATTCTCAATGGTGAAAAAGGTGACTATTAACAAGTGGTACAGAGACAGAAAATTAGGTTTATTCCAGGGATGTGAGGATGGTTAATTATTTTTAAATGTTAACAGAAGTTTACCATATTGATACATCAATGGCAAAAGCCATATTATTGTATAGTAATAAAAAGTATTTAAAAATCCCCCCCTAAAAATGTAAAGAAAATAAGTGAAAAAGGGTAAACTAACTAAGCCACAGAGTGAACAATTTGTAGAGTTGGGATTTAAACTCAAGGGGCAGACTAGAGATCAAGTTTTTAATGTTGTGCTTTTTGCCATTAAATCTTAATAGCTTCAGTATAGTATTTTTCCCTGTATAATCTTTAAATGCCAGAATGTTGTGGCCATATGCAATAAGACTAGGAAAGCAAAAGCAAGAGCAAATTCTTTAACAAAATATGTAAAACTTTCAAATTAGTTTGAAAGTTAAACTATTAAATTACATATAAACTAATTTGGCAGGATATATACATTTTTGGAAATAAAGACTCAAAAATTTAAATTTAATTTCTAAAAAGAAATAACATTTTTAGCGTTAAAATTTGAAAAAGAAATGTTAAAAGTGCTACAGTTAACAAAACGGAAATTTGCAATTAAAAGGAAGATTAAAACCTAAAAATGGTGCATGTATTTATATGAATCCCTGATAAACAAGAAAAAGAATAATGTCAATGACTGGAAATCAGAATAAATGAATTTTAAACAAGAATACAAAATACCATTTTTATTCACAGGAAGAATAGACCAGTAATTGAAGAGGCTGATAAAGATCTCTCAGAAATATCTTAGCTTGAGATAATAATATACTTCTCTTTGACAAAATTCTTGCTGTGTTCGTAATAAAAAGAAAAGGTGCCAGTCACTCAAGGAAGATATAAAATAGGAAGAATAGTGATGACAGTATGAAATAAATGGTTTTAAAGGATGAATAACAACAATGTCCATTTTTTTCAGCATCACAGTGAGCTCTATTATATATTAAAAAAAGATCTCTCAGGAAAAAAGATGATACTTTCGGTTTTACAAGTTCATTCTATTAAGGACCAAATAATTTCTGTGACTTGAAGATTTTCACAGCTCCTACTTTTAAATAATCAGGCACACACATTTTCTCTTTCCTAAATTAATTTTAGAATGACATTAGAGATATACAAGAGTATAATAAAATCCATAATAACATGGAGAATGAGATGGGGGAAAGAATGGGAAGCAATTTTTCATTTGAGTTTCTGGAAGAGGGAAAGATAACTTAGTGGTGGTGATGAATAAACCAGAGAAGGAAAAATTGCCACCCTAATAAAGTGCAGTAGAGGTTCTAAATGCAAAATTTCCAGTTGTGATTTGTGAAACTATATTTAAGTATTTTACAAAATGCTATGTAGGTTTATCTCTCTTATACTAGCCACCATTCCACTAACGGTAAAAGACTGTTCCTTGATTGGAGGCTTTGCTCAGCTTTTCCTTCAATCTGAAGTATTATTATTCCAGATCTTCACTGGCCAGTTCAATTTCATTCATTCAGTCATCAGAACTAGTAACACTCTGTGGAGACATCCTTCCTAAGCATTCTATCTGAAGCTATTTCAAGTTATTCTGTCTCATGACCTTATTTATTTCTACCTGTAACTGTGGTGCTTATTTACTTACCTTTAAGTCACCTGTCACAATTCTTAGAATGTAAGCTCCATGAAATCAGGGACCTTGTCTATCTTCTTCAATACTGTGTCAGTATAGGAGGTATAGCAGTCAAGCAGTGGGAGTTCAAGCAGGAGAAAACATAAGAGATTGAGGAAAAGTGATAACAAATGAAATTACATTTCCTAGCACTAAATGAGGACAAAAGCCTTCAGGTTGAAATGGTCATCAAACAGTAAGCAGAATTAAGGGGGGGGGGGGGAATATCCATGCCTGGACAGTTCACAGTAAAATTATGCAACACTGAGAATAATGGTTTTCTGAAGATAAGTTTTCAAAAGAATATTCTATTTTTCAAAGGAATCAAAATAATATTGACCATTGGATTCCTCTTAAGCTATACAGGTCAACATCAGAAAATCAATTAACTTAATATACTACATTTAAAGAATAAAGGAGAAAAAACAAGAAAGGAGGCATCAAACAAGACAAAAACAAGAAAGGAGGCATCAAATTTTACTACAAAACTATAGTAATCAAAACAGTATAGTACACACACAGATCAATGGCATAGAACTGAGAGCTCAGAAGTAAATCCAACTTACAGGGACCGTTAATTTATGATAAAGGAGCCAAGTGCATAAATGGAGAAAGCAACTGTCTTTCTCAACAAGTACTGGGAAAACCAGACAGTAAGTTGCAAAAGAATAAAACTAGGCCACTGTCTCACACCACTCAGAAAATTTTATTCAAAATAGATTAAAGACTTGGAATATAAAACCTGAAATCCTAAAATACATAGTTGAAAACATAGGCACAACATACCATGACACTGGCTTCAGTGATCTGTTTGTGGACTTGACCACAACAGCAAGGGAAACAGAGAAACAAAGTGAACATCACATTAAGAAGCTTCTGAAAGCAAAAGAAACTGTCATTAAAATGAAAAGATACCCTGTCAACAGGAGGAAGTATATGCACATCCCACATTGGACAAGGGACTGATATCCAATATTTACTAAGAACCCATACCACTGAACAAAAAGAAAGATAACCCAATCACCAAATGGGCAGAAGAGCTAAATAGACACTTCTCCAAAGAAGAGATACAGATGGCCAAAAAGTACATGAAAAAAATGCTCATTGTCACTTGTCATCTGGGAAATGCAAATCAAAACCACAATGAGAAACTACCTTATCCTCTGAGAATGACCCATATCTAAAAGCAAGTGCTGGCCAAAAAAAGTACCTTTATACACTGTTGGTGGGAATGTAGACTGGTCCTGCCCTTATTCAAACCATATGGAGGTTTCTCAATATATTAAAAATAGATCTATTACATGACTCAGCAATCCCACTAGCCAAAGAATTCACAAACATTCATTTGAAGGGCTAGATACCCTTCTGTGTTGGTTGCAGCATTATTTATAATAGCCGAGTTGTGGTAACAACCTAAATGTCCAAAGACAGTTGAGTGGATTAATAACATATTGTATTTATACATGACCAAACAGTACTCTGGTACCAAAAAAGATGAACTCTTGCCATAGTGACAATATGGTTGGGAATGGAGTGTTAAAGTTAGTCAGAGGGAGAAAAACAAATACCAGAGATTTCACTTACATGTGGAATATAGATCAACAAAAACAAACTAAAAGAGTAAAATAACAAAGCCTGTGAACCTGGCGGTAGGGGGGCAGGGGAGGGCAAAGTACGGAGAGGGGCTTAATGAACTGTGGGGAGAGGGTTCTGGGGACCTTGATGCCGGGTGTGTTGTAGTAACAAAAGCATCTGGAGATGTGTGACTCTATCCTTTAAATCATACGTGGTGCTGCGTAACAACTTTACCTCCGTCAAAAATGATACCATTAAAACTGATGAGTACATAAAATTAATTAATACTGGTGACTGTAATCTGTAAATGATAATTATTGTCATGTTTTTAAAAAGCAGAGAGAGGCATTTATGGTCCAAAGATGATGCAAATCAATATGTGACTTAATTTTTGTTATTTAGAGATTGTAATACAATATAATCCATTTGACCATAATAAGTATATTTCACTGTGCACTGATTTGGTAAGGCTATTATATTTCTCTTTCTGTGACTACAATATGCATCAATTTGTTCTAGAATGGATTGTGGATTACACACAGAGAATAAATATGTTTGTTATTTCTCAGCTTTTAGAATGTTTGAGATATGAAGTCAGCCCAAAATATGGAGAATTTAATAAAATGGCTTAGCTTTCCCTGATTTTGGTCTCTGAGTCTGCCTTTCTTTTATCTGTGTGGCACTTAAAATCTTTGAGTCTCAGTTTAAGGAAGGAACAAAGTTTCTTCATTCATAAAATTGGGATAATAATAACTAACTTGTAGTTTGATTCAAAATGATGTACATAAATCTGCTTTTATATGGTAGGTGGTGACTAGTAGCTATAGATACTCACCCGCTTTATCACAGTTCAAACTTCGCAATTGCATGGAACACATTTTTTTCAACTCATAGTTATCAAAGAATTTGATGATACTCATTGCAAAGTTGTAACTAGGAAGCACCATTAGTACATTATTTACCATTGTTTTGGTTATTTCAGTAAAGTCACGATCTGTGATTAAAAAGATAATGGATTAGCTTCAATTATAAGTAATGAACCACCTTTTAAAAACAAACACCCCAAAGAAGATAAAGTCATGCTTAGAGAGTCACCATGCAGCAGGTGATCTTGGAAAAATACTAGTTATTAAGTAACTGAGTCTGTTCACCTTGACAGCTGGCAGCATGAACTCGTCAATTACAGAATCCTAGAGAAGACTTGTTAATAAGTGTTTCCCTGGGAACTTTCTTCCTCCCTCCTGATGTGTGAGGTCTACTATCAACAGAAGAAACAAAAGAAAGTATTCTTCTGTTTCCCATACAGCCTACAAAATGGAAAAATCATGGGATTCTGAATTTTACTTTGTTTTCAGCCTCTCAGTTCTAAAATTTCTGGTCCAATCAGAAGGTATTTAAAAAACTTGAACAAGTTTTTCATCCAATATATATTGCTGTTTTCAGTGGGATGGTGGTTCACATATTCAGTCCTCCTTCTGGACATGGAAGTATCCACTGAATTTCTCATTGCCAAGCGCAGGAGCCTCTGTACCAAATGTCTTGCATTTAGCCCCTTCCAATAATCAATCCACTCTTCTCAATTATACTTTCTGCCCTGGAAGGGTTATCTGTATTGATTAGTTTATTTTTTTACATCTTTGTAATTTTTGGATAGTAGCAGATGTCTCGCCTCAGATGTAAAGATTTAAACTAACAAGTTTCTTTGCTCTCTGGCTGCTGGTTGATCTAAATCAATGGGAAGCCCTGACTGGAGAGAGGAACATTTCAACAGTATGTTTACTTTGTGACACCAGTATGTTTACTTTGTGAAAATTTAAAGCATACACTTTGTACACATTTCTGCATTTTTCTTTGTTATATTTCAAGAAAAAATAAAACAACACATTCTTTAAAAAAAAAACGCTACACAGATGCACATTGGTGGTAATACCTGGCGGAGATGCCCCAGTGTTACCTCAGTTACAAATAAATTAATTAAAAACAAAGCTAAGCTGGTGGCGCAACGGGTTAAAGCACAGCACTGAGAATCTAAAGCCACTTTCGCATGAGTTCGATTCCCGCCTGCCCCGGAGGTGACCCAGATGGTGCGGCAGACCTCTCCTGACCCGCCCGCTGCTCCCCTCAGCAGTGTACTTTGTTAGTCAGCCTGTTCTGCTCCCCACTCTGTCTCTGGTGAATCCTCTCACCGCCCCTGATCCTCTGGCCTATACCCCAGTTCTGTATGTACAAATAAATAAATCTTTAAACAAAACAAAACAAAACAAAACAAAAAAACAAAGCTAAACATTTACCATTTCTTACCTTATAGACTTGGTGAGTATGTTATGAAAAATGGAAAGATTATAAAAGCACATACATCTTATGGATGCCATTAAATAATTAAAACATCTGATGCAACGAATGTTTTTAAAAGAGTCTAATAGTGTCTTCTAGTCTAAGAGAGCTCACTAAAAGAATATTCTTGAAGAGTGCTGTGTGAAGTGTTTGATGTAGGGTGAAAAGGATGGCAGTATATGCTCCAGAGAGAGTAACGGGATCCCAGAAAGCAGTAACCAGGCGTCAGAACAACTCCCAGAGACAAGGCGGGAGCCATTTACAAAGTCAGCAATGAGTAGAGGACTGTAATCAGATTTCTTTCAGCCAAGGGAGTGGAATCAGCTTTCTAACCTTTGTGTCTCTTTCAGACAAATTATAATCCCTCCCCACCCCACCAAATTAATAAGTCTAGAGGCTTCTGAAACCTCACTCTAGAAGTTTCTAGTATTAGAAACTGGAATCTCAAAATCTGTAGTATCTGGATTTAAGATAAAACAAACAAAATCCCAAAACATCCTGTTTGTGAAAATCACCAACAGAGTCAGTTTCCCTTTAAATTTCATAATCAGAGAAGAGAGGTGTGGAGAGCCTAACCCTGGGATCCTGTGGGACCCAGGCCTGAGGCGAAGGAAGCTGGCTTAACAGCTGTATTTGTGCATATTTTGTTGTTTTCTTTTGAAAAACAAAAACAAACAAAAAACCAACTCATTAGAGTTCAAGATTACATGCTTCATTAAGTTAGGGAGGAATGCACCTAGGATTTGCCAAAATGCTGGTAAGATGTTGATAACTGAAGATCCAAGTCTCAAGAGGGGGGACACAAGGGATTTTTTTTTAGTAATAATTTATTTTTAACATCACTTTGTGCCTTTTTCCATCTCAGTTGTAATCCCCATGGCTTCCTTCAGCAAATCACCCGTGTGCCATCACCAAAGTCAGTACGTTTCCCTCCCCCCACCGTTTTTGATCACAAAGGGATCTTTTTAGAGGGGAAAAGTGTTTTGTGCTCTCTCTGACCTTCTTTTCTTCCTCCCCCTTCCCTCCATTTGCCCTCTTGACCAGCCTTTCCTCTCTCTCACATACCCAACTCAGTAAGTGCTGATTTCCAAAAAGCATAGGTTTTCAGATTCCTGAAAGTACCCTCAATTAATACGTATATCCTCAAGCTCTTTTATCCTCAATAACTTATTAAACAATATATTCCAGAGACAGAGAAAACTGTGACGATCTTACCATAGTGCTGCATTATGCTATGGATGAGGGTGCTGAAGACAGTGGAGAAGTAGCTAAAGAGGGTCAACTTGATGTAGGCGGCCGCACCACTAGAAAACAGGAAGCTTCCAAGATATATGAGAGGGACAGCAGACCAACTATACAGCATGAAGATCATCATTGTGTCCAGAAAGTGGTAGTTTTCAACAAATGCATCCACTCTGCAGTATTTGAACACACCCTGAGACACGGGATACAAAGACAGGAGCAAGATGAAGGCCCTGTTCAACCAGAAGTCACCAGAACATGCAGAACACAACAGGCACAGCTCCTTGGAGCACAGTGATCTCACTGCTTACACCATTTTTACCCATCTTGAATAAAAGGCCTTTTATGAACAGAATGACTCTATTTACCTTTTCTGTTTTTTTGACTTGGAACAGTATTACTTTTTTTTTTT